AGTTTAGATGTGGCACAAGGCCGAAAGTATGGAGCACCTAGTGACGATCGGACACACTTTTCAGTCGTAACTGATATAGCGATACAAGCATACTAACCTTTACACCACGCCGAAGTGCCCATATCGAACCTGAATAGAATAAGCCAAAAAGAACTTATGCACCAACAATTTTCGCTTGAGGAAGACCGTAGAATTTATTGGCTGATTGTTTTTAAATAATCTATATACGGGACTAGTGCTTCCCTATTCACACTGGCCAGCTTTGACACAAACGCGTTCATGCGGTCTTGTGGGTGATTATTTTTTCCACGATGCAAATGTTATCCCACAGACGAAACGTTCCTAGCCTGTCACTTCTTAACCGGGGAATTATAAAAAAGAATAACAAGCCAAAAACCCGGGGCAAGTGCTTCACTCCAGACAGTATCTCTCCTTTGGAAGGGGGCTGCTTTTATTGAGCTAGGCCTGAATCGTAACGAAAAGAAGAATTGTTGAGGAGTTTAGTCAATTTTCCACAGTATTGCCGTTAAACATACTTTAAACCTCGATCGTCTGCTACATTCGGGAGGCCCGTAGGCGCGCGGAAAATTAAATTCTCTCGTCCCAGCATTTCAAACATTCACAGCTGGGACACGCCGTGTCATGTTCACGGTGGAAAATCATCTCCATTAACTTCTTTCTATGACCAGTCAGTCAGTTATGTGCCATGCTTGATACACACTTAGGCGATCATGTATCTTTCGAAACAAGACTGACGAGGTAGATTTTTTTCCCGCAGTAGGTTGGCATTTCTTTCCATCTAAGGCTATAGAATCCGGTCTGTTCAGCTATTTACCCATAGCTGGGGACGGGGGAGAAGAATATTCATAGCTTTCCCAAGGGTATTAGCACGTAATTGAATGTAATGGATTCGACTGGAATTCGAACTCGGCTCTCCGATTCCTCAATCCAAGCCGCTATTACTACACCGTGCCTTCTCTGACCACTACAGTATTAAACTCTTCATGTCTATGATTAATCGGCATCTGTCCTAATTATTCTCATGATAGTGGCTTCCATGAAACAATCTCATTCATCAACCCTCGACCTCGAGTGGCTCTTGGGGCGTGAATTTGATGAAATAAAGTAAAAAAAAAAAATGGAAGAGCTGATTCTTTGTCACAATTTGACATAGCATGCGCTTATGAGATGCGTGTGAATGGTCGCACAAACTTGAGTAATTTGACAATCACCCGCACATGCCTATTCTTCTTCTATATGTTGTGTCCCTTAAGGACTTTGAAGATCATGGCTCTCCACAATTTCTTCATATTTGTAGCTCTTAATAAATTTGGTCATTTTGTGATCTCCCCTAAACTTTTTTTCTACCATCCATTTACTCAAACTTCTTCTTCTATGTGCCGTGTCTCTTCAGTACGTTAGGGATCATAGCCCTCCACATTGTCCTCTCCTTTACAGCTCTTAATGAATTTGATTTTTTCTTAAAACTTTCTTCTGCTATCTATTTACTCAACCTCCCCCCCTCCACCTTCTTGTCCTTTTTCTTGTTCTTGTTCTTCTTGTTCTTGTTCTTCTTGTTGTTGTTGTTCTTCTTCTTCTTCTTCTATGTGCCGTGTTTCTTTTTTGTTATTTCTACTCAACCTTGTTCTGCTATCTATTTATACAAGATTACTAGGTAGGCTATGTGTTGTTTACCCCCATCCATCTTGCTTTCACTCTATCCTGTGAGTATCAGATTTTCGAAGCCATCTTTCCTCATTATGTACTCTAGAAATTTCAACTCTCTCTTTCTGATGCGGGCTTGCGGCCATATCACGTTGAAACACCGGTTCGCGTAGGATCACAGTGGTTAAGCAATGTCAAACCTGGTCAGTACCGAGATGTGTTGTGTGTCAGCTTAGATGTGTAGGTTGTATAATAGATAATGGCTCAGAATCTTTAATCGGAGAGCTGCGTTCCAATTCTAGTTGGGTTCGTTATATTCACTTACTTGAAAACACCCTTGGGAAAGTTATGAATTCAAATCTTCTCTTAGGTTAATTTTGTTTTAAATCACTAAATTTTTATTACAGCCTTCCCTAAAAATATTATTAAAGTCTAAAAAATACTTGCTTGCTTTAAATAACCTGCAAAGGGTTGATAAACCGTAAAAAAGAATGAACCTGTTTGTCTTCCTCTGACATAATTTTTGTAATGAATATGCGCATATCACTGTTATGTGTGAGTGACTTGCAGTTGACAAGTTACCTCATATACAGAACATAAAGAAGAAGAAAGAAAATACTTCATCTTGTGTATCGACCAGAGTCGGAATCATCGAGTCTACAGAAGCCAGTCTGCTTTATTATTTTAAATAGAATATATAAAAGATCTCCCTGTTCTGGTCGACTGTAGTCAGGATCATCGAGTCAATGCGAAAGATCCTTTCCTTAGCTGCATACTATGTTCTTCGCTAGAGCTACATACAATTTTGAATTCAGATTTGTCTTCACTTCGACTGTTTGCCACCCAAGGTTATAGAACCCAGTCTAGCGTTCTATTTTAAATAGAATATATAAAATCTCTCCCTGTTCTGGTCGATCGTAGTCGGGATCATCGAGTCAATGCGAACGATCCTTTTTGGATAGTACGTGCTTCGCCAAGCTTACATACTGTTTCGAATTCAGTTTTCCTTCTCCTAGACTGTTTGCAACCCAAGGCTATAGAACCCAGTCCGTCCTATTTAAAATAAAATATATAAAACTCTCCCTGTTCTCGTCGCCCGTAGTCGGAATCATCGAGCCAATGCGAATGATCCTTTCCTTAGCTGCATATTATGTGCTTCGCCAGGGAGATAAATAATGTTTAAGAGTTTTCCTTCTCCCTATTCTAGTTGACGTAATAATTACAATTAGTTTTTTTCGTGTTGTTTTCCGATAAAAAACACATTTGATTTTGGAAATTCCTGTAAAAATCAAATAATTGTCGGACTTTAATGAAACTTTCTGGGCTTACTCACGAATGAATTAAATTATTTTTGAAGTTTACTTAAGAAAATCTTGGTTAAAAAAAATTACTGATGTTACTCCCTATTTACTTAATTTTCTGAAATTTCTAGCAATTAAATTTTATGTCCAAAATTTTTTATTATTTAAAAGTAGGAATCCTTGGAGAATGTTAATCATCTATTTTTCATTTTCAGACTTTTTTTAACTGAAAATCTGCTCCGAATGGTAAATTAAAAAATGTAATCAAACGATAACATTATTTAATTAGAAAAGCTTTTAATTGCTTTTGTAAATAAATTATTTTAAGGACAATATTATCTGAAGAAATATTTTTTTCTTTGAATAAGTAATTTTTTAAAGAATTTTTTTTAAACTTTTAATTATAATAATTTATAACAACTTAAAAGTCGTTTAAATTCCTGTATTAAGTCCTGTATGTGATATTGCAATTAAGTGGAAACGAAATTTACGAATCCAAAATTGAAAACCGCAATAAGCGTCGTCTTACTGATATTTTTAAAATAATTTATTATTATTTTTTTACTTCAATCGTTCCTTTTTTTCACCTATGGTATCCTAAGTATGGCATAATGAAAAGGTCACGTGCTTGGATTGAAGAAAATAGAAAATGTTTTTTAACAAATGTTAATTAAAGTTTATTAACTATTAATAATTAAAGAATATTTTAATTATTATAAAAAAATTCCAGATCAATGTGTTAATTTTCTTGTTTAATTATCTTTTTCTTAATTTCATTTGTTATTAAATTTTAAAATTAATTTAAGAACAGAATTTTTTATTATTTCATAAAGCATCTCCAAACGTAACTAAGTCAATAAAAAATTAGAAAATGCCTGAAAATATGTTAATTTGTAAAAATTACTAGTTAGCTAAAAACAAAAAAAATTAGTTTTGTAAATATATGTCAATTGTAGTCATCCATACGAGTTGTCGTCACTTATCGCTACATCAATAAAAATGAGAGAAACACAGGACCCATCGTCAAAATATGCTATATTACTTTTTTATGATTTATTAATTAATGTTTAATAAAAATCAGATTAACTTAACTGTAAATTTGTTAATTTTACTCAAATAACGTGGCACAAATATATATTTTATTTTTGGAAGACTTTTAAAGCCGATAATTTTGTTTTCTTTTTTTCTTTTTCGTTTTTTTTTTTTTTTTGATAATAAGAAATATTTTTGAAATCGGCCAAAAAGTTGAGATTCTAATCTATATAATTTTTAGTTAAAATACAGCAGAATATTTTACTTACTGGAAATAGTAAATTTAATCATTTAGCTTTCAATTAAAGCTAAAATGAAATCTTCAAGAATGCTTTTATCATTAAAAATTCATTTTAATCCTTAGCTATCGAAAATTTATACCATATTAGTGCAGATACCTTTATATATATTTATTGAGATCTCTGGATTTTATTCTCCTTCGGTTTACCCATACGGATTACCTAGTTTTCATAAAACTAACTAACTTACTAACTAACTAACTAACTAATTAATATATATATATATATATATATATATATATATATATATATATATATATATATATATATATATATATATATATATATATATTTAAAATTCCGTCGTATAAGCCTATTTGTGTTGGATTCTATAAATGAAATTACAGAGCCAAATGCATCCCGTATTAACTTTTATTTAAAAAAATAATGATATTTGCAAGTTACAGTGCTTAATCTATAGTAATATGAATTTTCTTTTAGAAAAAAAGGATTATTTTTGGTCACAGCGCCTGTTGTAAAACACCGCTCTTAAAATTAATTGAAATTCTACGATATTATTGGACAATCGGTGTCACATTCTTTTGTCTTCGAGTGAGAGGACGAAATTAGCAGTACAAGCTACAACGGTTCTACCAATCGATTTGACTAATAGATAACGACACCGAAATGACGCTAAAGTCGGCCGGTGGGTTTTCTTTTTACTAAAATGTGTCGGGTTAGTCAAACCGAGACAATATTCAGTATGAAGGGGACCATTAACGTCATCAGTTTTAGGCAGAACATATCTTTGTTTCGATCGCAACTCACTCCCTGTGTTAAATGCTCCTTTGCCCCGACAATAGGAACCTTTCATTTCCGCTCCGAGAAGAAATCGACTACATAGCTTTTCTCCCGTTACCCTTGGTCCGACACCAAGTTAACGTCCTGGGGGGACTGACCGCAACACCAGACAGGTCAGTTTTAGAGATAAGGGCTAATTCTTCTGCCGCGCTGTAAATAGATACGCTTGGCACCGATGAAACAAGGTGATGGATATAACTTTAGGCGGCAAGATGTTAGTCAATTAAAAAGTAATAGCACTGGGGGGGGGAGTAAATGGGGAGGTTAGGCAATTTAGGAAAGGAACCATGATGAGAGATAGTAGATAATGGAAATGATTCCATCTAACCATTTATCTATAGACTTTGGAGAGTTCGCATTCATTTCTTGGAAACCCATCTCTGGCCACGAACACTTTGTTCGCTTTTGTAAAACGAATTCTAACACTGGTCAATCGTTATCTTCCATGATGTCAATTCCTCTTATATTTGAGGGACAAATTTTTCAGTCTGCTTTGTAAAATTGATATATTTGGGAAGGATATTAGAATAATCCTGAACCTATCAGTCAGTTATGTGCCATGCGGGGTACACGCCTACATGATCATGTATCTTTTAATACATGACTGACGAGGCAGAGTTTTCCCGCAGTTGGTTGCTATTTATTTATGCGGTAGACCAATTGCCATCCAAGGCTATAGAACCCGGTCTGTCCTTCTATTTACCCCATAGCTGGAGGGAGAAGAAGAGGATTCATACCTTTCCCAAGGGTATTAGCGCGTAAGTGAATGTAATGGATTCGACTGGAATTCGAACTCGGCACTCTGATTCCTAAATCCGACCGGCTATCCATTACTGCACCGTGTCTCCTGAAACTATACCGGCAGCAGACCGCCTGAATACGCAAAGGAAATGAACTCAGTAAATATACAAAAATAGGTGGTACGGTGGAGTAATGAATATCGGCTCGGATTTTGCTGCTGAGGAATCGGAGAGCCGAGTTCGAATTCCAGTCGTGCTAAAACTCTTAGGAATGGTATGAATCCTTCCCCCGAACAGGACAGACCTGGTTCCTTGGCAACTGGTCTACCGCAGAAAACTGTGGTAGACAAAAAAATCTGCCTCGTCAGCCATGTATCAAAAGATATATGATTGCCTAAGTATATATCATGTATGACACATAACTGACTGACTGATACAAATATAGAAACAAGAGTAAGACGAGGATTATTCAACCGATAATGTGAGGCGATTCTGAGAGAATTAGAAGTCCTGCCAGGAATCATTATTGGCCGCCCCAATCTTAATGAAATAAGATATGTAGATAAAACAGTGTTGACAGAAAGAAAACTAGAAAAAAATCCCTATAGAAATTAGTGATGGAAAGCGAAAAGAAATGACTAAAGATTAATTGCAAGAACATGGAAAGCATAGTTACGCGCAAAAGGGTGAGACCAAAATGCAAATGACAAATCTGAGTTACCAAAAATCAAACAAGTACAACAATTTAAATAACTGGAAATCTTTGAAAGGACGTTTTTGACAAAAATATCCGTATTGGGATAGCGAAAGATGCCTTCCAAAACCTAAGCAAAGTATTAAGAAACAGAAAAAAAAAACTACGCTAGAAACAAAGAAAATAGTACAGAACTATATATCTGTCCTCCTATATGGCAGTGAGTGCTGGACTATCTCCTCGGAGATGAAGAAGAGACTTGACGCAAAAGAAATCTGGTTCTACAGAAGGATGTTGAGGATACCATGGACCGAACATGTGAGCAGTGACAAAGTTTTAGAGAAAATGGAAAAAAAAAGGAAATTTATAACTTAGTATCAAGAAGAAACAAGGGTACATAACAAGGACTCGATACTCACAGGACAGATTGTAGACAAGAGGGACAGAGGAAAATAAGGCATGAATTACTTAGTGAGCTTTATTGATTGGATAGGGAACAAATAACAAAATATCTTCAAGCTTTCATCGATCTAAATTTGTTATATTGGTCCGACTGAACATGCGCACGAACGGGGAATGCTGGGAAGTTTGACAGATTTTTTTTTTTTTTTTTTTTTTTTAATCAAGCCGAATACATTTAGATTCATTTTTATTTCATTTTCCATTACTTTTGTTAGTAGATATCCCACATTGTGAAAATAGAAATACTGGGTGGAATCGTGAAATGTATGAGCTAGGGCACAAATTTACTGTGGATGACTTTGCGATCAAGGTACCCTTTAGACATATTTGTCGTAATGAATTGTTTTCTCCTTTGACATACAAAATGCTACTCGGATGAAAGACTAAAATAATTCACTACGACGAAAACGTCAACAGAGTGCCTTGATCGCTTTGTGGTAACAGCTGTTAGGGTCCCAGCTATGGGCAAATAGTTAACCCCCAAACTGGGGCTAAAGCACTATGAAAATATAAAAATAGTTTTTATAGAAAAAATGCCAACAATATATTTTTGAAAAAAGTTATTACCAACAATACATTTTTGAAAAAAATATTACCAGCAATATATTTTTGAAACATAAAATCATTATTACCAGCAATACATTTCTGGAAAAAATATTCTGGCAATAAAAATCTTGCTGGCATTAAATAACCCATTGAGGTTGACATGCCGTAAAACAAATCAAACCAATGAGAGACCTTGCTGCCGAGTGTAGTTTATCGTTTTTGTGACGTACGGTAGCCGTTAATGATAAAGACTTCGATGTTAAAATAAAACAGCATTTAATTACAACCGCAAATAAATACTTAACAAAAACAAAGAAGTAAAAGTCAACCAAAGATAATTAACAATTTCAGTGAAGACTGTTAGTAGAGCGGCTCGGTTTAACGTCCGGTAAATCCTAAATCAAAACCCAAATCATCGACGCACAATAATTCACACTAATTCGACTGGATAGTTCCACTCAAGAGTCTCCCAATAATCACCCCAGTCAGTAGCCTGACACCGCTATTTATACACCTTGCGGAAGACATATAAATCTAGAGTGAGACGCCCGAACTTCGGTGTCGGTAGTCACCCATTTTCTTCCTATATGACAATCGTTGTACCTAGGAAAATAATTACCCAAATTTTGCTGGTTGAACAATAGGAAAATGTCTGATTGTTCAAGTTTGAAAGTTTGAACTTTGTATGTTACAAGTAAATACAGTGTAACCCGGATATAAGAGAGTTGTCGGGACCGGAGAAGAAGTCTCTTATATCCGGGTTTCTCTTATATCCGGGTTTGGTCTATTATATATACATTAACACAGGCTCTAATTTGGGACCAGAGAAAATCTCTCTTATATCCGGGTTACACTGTATTAAGATTAGTTTTTACGGCTTATCAACCCTTTCCGGGTTATTTAAAGCCAGAAGAATATTGCTGCTAATCCTGCTCTGAAGGTTCTCCAATGTATTTCAAGATTCTTAAAAAAAAAAAAGAATCTGATACATTATCGATCCGGATCTGGCATATTGGTTTTAGTCACTTTCCCACCGCCGCAGTATAGCTTTACCAGTATCGTCCTCATAATTTCGACTGTTCCATCTGACCTCATCAGTCTGCTGAAAAATATCTTCCGAATAAATCGGTAATATACAGGGTGAGTAAAAAATCGCGCCCCATAGGGATTAGTCTATTAAAAGTATAATTACACATGAAAATTTTATTTACTAGTTATTTAATAGTTATCTGTGCTGTTCAAAAGACATTTTAATTCTGTGCCTGGATTATTCATTAACACATCGGAGAGGTTCCTCTCATTTTACTGCATTCATATTTCTTCCACAATATTTCTTACGTGCGTCTGATAAACAACTGATTTGTCATTTGTCATGACCCCTCCACCACCCAACCAGAAAGGAATCCAAGGTTGGTGACCTCGTTGGTCATCCAACAGAACTTTTTGACTTATCCACAAATCCCTTTCCCGACGTAGACGTGTATATACGTTGCACCGAAAGTGTTCTTTTCAGACACGGACGAATAAAAACGTCCAAACATTCACAAAGTATAGACGTCTTTATCTTGATTTTTCATGCTTTTTGGGGCTTGAAATGAGGCCAGTTATCTACTCATACATGTATTAGAGGTGTTAACTACCCCTCGACTAGTTCAAGGTGAATGAGTTCCTTAGTTACTATATTAAAGCAAAAATTTAAAAAATCGTCTGAAAATGAAACGTTTTTCTCAAATATAATTGGCGGGGATAATGCCCAACAATTTTCTCTTGTCCATGTATTTAACACAACTTCCGCTATTTCTGAACGCGGCAAAAGTTCTTTTTTAACGTGGGGCTACATAAATAGCTCAATATCTTTTTTGTTGTTGTTTTCCCGATGTTATAATCTGCCTTTCATGTTATAAAGCCTAACGTGATGTTGCGTAGTTTATTCCAGTTAAGTTTATAAGCCCTTAACCACATAAGAGACATTCATAAAAATGACGCTTTATGTAAATAGTTTTCGTTATATTTTAAACAAAAAAAAATCGGTAGCTTATAACTTCCTAAGACATCGTCACCCTGATGATGACCTAGGCGATGAAACTTCTTCCTTAACTGATAGTGATGTATTCTTTCTCCATGCTAATTAGGTGTTTGACGTCAGAAATAATCATCACTATAATTATCATCAGTCCAAGGCATGGTGTGGTTGTAGGGGGCTCCGCAGTTGAGTCTCTAAGCAATTCCCTCAACTCTTCCTCAAATCTATGGATTAATTAGTAATTATCACGAAACTATTATTTTTTCCAAAACATTCTTACAATCTAAAAACTATTTTTCTGGCTTTAAACAACCTGGAAAGTGTTGATAAGCCGTAAAAAACGAATCAATCCAATCAACATTGTCTCTACCTTGTTTGGTTCACTCATAATTCATATCCATGAAATATGCAATTTCTTTCCGAACAACATAATATTTACATTCAAACAAGCAGACATTTATTTCACATTGTTCAACCAGCAAAATCTTGGTATCTATTGTCCTAGAAATTTAAGCCTGGGCACGACTATGAACTACATCCGGCAGCAAAGCCTCTGATTGGTTTGGTTTAGTTTGGTTTGGTTTGTTTGATGGCATATCAACTTCAATGGTTTATTCAAGGCTGACAAGATTTTTATTACTAGTGTTATACAGGAATGAAATGTCGCTACCGGCGCTTGAGTTTGAACATAGATCGCCATTGAGCAAACACAGGCAATCCCATTATTGAATTAAGTAGACCACGTGACCATTGAGGATACGCATATATGGAAGGTAGCGTGACGTCTAATTGATCTGAATTTCTACTCTATTTACTATACGGACCGCTATTCTCTACTCTATTCACTATACTATTTCTCTATTCAGATCACTATACGGACGACTATTCGAGCGAGTATTATCGAGCAAGTACTATCACTGCGTATCTTATTCGAAGGCGTCTGACACCAGTATTGTTCAACGGCGTACTATAGTTGTATCTGCGATTACAAAGTCTCTACTACAACGAGTAGATAAAGAGTATTCGTTAGCATCAAAAAGTCCGGACGAGTGTTCGTTGACTTCACAAAAGCTGAGAATATTTTTTATTTCAGAGATGTATTGCTGGTGATATTTTTTTCAGAAATGTATTGCGGGCAATAATATATATGTATATTTTTTTTCAAAAATGTATTGCTAATATTTTTATTACAAAATATCTTTTTACACTTTATAGTGTTTTGACTCTAGTTTGGAAATTAACTATTTGCCCATTGCCGGGACCCTAACATGTGCTACCACTTGGGGTCAAAGGTGGTGCCGGGGACAAGAGCAAGAGGTGGTCCCATGCTTTTCTAAACCTCCTAATCAGCGTCCTTGCCGCTGGAAGTAGTTTATCGTCATACCAAGGATGACAAGACCTCTGATCGTGTGACTAGTATTTTTGACGAGCGTAGAACCACCTCTTAATTGCTGTTCTTCCCAGATCCACCCTGACTCAGGGTTGTAGCACCTGTTAGGCTCCCAGCTATGGGCAAATAGTGAACTCACAAACACGTAAGATTGTAGAAGTATAAAAATACATTTTTAAAGTAAAAATACCAGCAACACATTATATAAAAAATTACAGAGAATACCTAATTATGACAGAACGACCAACAATATCTATTTATCTGTAGTTGAAGCTATAAGATCATGTTAAAATATTTAAATTTCGCTATTGAGTATATATTGATATACCACTAAACAAAATCAGCCTAGAGAAGTTCCTAAGGAATAAAATTTTGATAGGCAAGACTACTTTCTTACTTGACTTTATGTCTATCAGATGTGTTCAGTAACCTGCGACCGCGTGTGTGCGCGCGCGCACACACACACACACACACACACACACACACACACACACACACACACACTCCACGCTGATTTTCGTCCATATTCGACCAGGTCTTTCCTCACACCCCTCACGTATCAATGTCACCATCTGCTCTCCATTTGCAGATCAGAATCCACCATAGACCCTTGCCCGAAGGCTTCAAACCCAATCCTCTTTCCTTCGGTCTCTCTACCCCAATATTTTCCAGCTGCCACCCTTGGTATCCACCTGACCATCACTGATTTAATTTTGTATTTGGTACACTGACGCATTCTATGTGACCAGCGGTCTTGCAAGGGGTCAGTCACTGGACCAAATAATGTTCTCTTGTTGACGTTAGCATCGCTATCAGTCTTACTAGTTCGGTTTATCAGGGAAGCATTTACCAACTTCTCGAAGTAAATGGCAGGTTAGGGAATCATAGCGTTTATAAGATCAAGCACGGCGAAGACCGATAGGGGAAGAGGTTGGTTTAAGAGTTGAAGCGTTTTTCATAATGTCTTGGACAAAGACAGATAGCTACTGATTGGTGAGAAAGAGAGGCTATTAACATTTTTGTGTTCATTTTCAATTCAACATTATTACTTTTCCAGTTCTATACACTTGTTCATTGCAGCTGCTGTGGGTAGAAATAAATTACTTTTACAGAAAGCCAATTTCTAAATGGTGTTGCACTTTTGCCCTTTGTAACTGACAAATTAAATACAGACAGGCTGATAAAATAAAAATAGTTTCTATCTGTAACAACTTATATATATATATATATATATATATATATATATATATATATATATATAAAAAGGGAACATAAAGTCAACACTTAGAGGCGACAGTCTGTTTCATGCTAGATGCAATCGTCAGATGGCCTGACGATTGCATCTAGCATGAAACAGATTGTCGCCTCTAAGTGTTGACTTCAATGTTTACTTTTATATTTACACACACTCTATCTCTGATATTGAGCACTTAGTCACATAAATATAGCATATCTTAAAACTATATTTCTTCATATATATATATATATATATATATATATATATATATATATATATATATTAGCAAAAGAATTAATATTTTATTTATAAATCCGACAGATTTTATTATTAAACATTATTTTAGCGGATACTCATATTTTAGTAGAAGTTACGTTTATTTATTAATTTGTTTACTTTCGTCTATCACCCTGAATATTCGATAAATCTTATCAAAGAAAAATATGCGCTTTCAGGCAGGATTTGAATCTGCGTTCCTCTTAGATCTGACAAGCTTTAGACATCTTGGTCACGGAGTATGTGGATGGGCAGACAACGCTAAATAGTGCTTTTTAAACACAATTTTTTTTTTTGTGACTTTCAAAATAGACATATCTGCTCAGTTTCATATCCTAATGTAAACAAAACAATTTGTAAAGAAAGGGATGAACAGCCAACTACTATTTTGCAAGAGCCAAGTACAGAAAACTGGCGCGCATAGCTTGCCAGAAGTCCTTTAAACGATGCTCCTCATGTTTAGAATTCAGAGTTGTAAAATCGACCTTGCAAACCAGGCGCTTCTTCGTAGCTAAAACTGGTATAGCACGTCAGGCTAGATGACCGTTCCGAGTAGGATTCAGGTTCGATTCCTGTCAGAGGACACATATTTGCTATGAGATTTCTCGGACATTCTGTCCGGTAAATGTTGTTTATACTGTTTATTATGAACAGAGCATTACTAAAATATTTGTGTATATAAATAACGTATAACAATAAAATATATTAAAATAATGGTCGGGCTTAGTCCATTTCATTATATATATATATATATAAATATATAAAATCTTATTGCTTTAAATGCTTTATTTTGTGGACATGCATGCTTGAGCCTCGGTAACATAGTAGAAATTAGTCAGAATAATTACCAAGAAAGGATTTATATAAAAAGGCAGAGTGGGGGGAAGATCCACGTGGTCGATTGTCCTCATCTTTGTTGCAGTTATCATTTCATCGGGCAATTTATAGGATTTGATTGTTCTAGTTCAATTGTCCATGTTTGCGGATATCTCGTCGACTTCTTATTTCTTTGTACTGATCAGTTATTGTTCTTCCCATCTTCACTGAGTTAAACTACACACTACCTAGCCCAGAGATCGAACTCATATACTCACCAAAGCTTTAATACCCAAGGTTATTGAGTATTTAAAAAAATCATTTCACTCCAAAAAGGCAATTAAGACACTAAGACGTAACCGGTTACTGGAAATGAAAGAGACTGGGAAAATAGAGTTTCAACGCGTCTCCGAGTTCTTTTTGAAGAAGAATTATTTTACACCCTCTAACCTCTCTCTCTTCCCAGGTGGAATGTGGCGAGTCTTTCACTGCTCTATAGATACTTCCATGGAAAGTGCTCGGACGAACTACATTCCTTGGTTCCGCCATGTCTTAACTTTACGGCAAGGACCCACCATGTTACTTACATAGTAGCAAACCACCCACATTTCCTCCGCATTCCATCGGAGAGAAGTAAGTTCCTCTCCGACAGCTACTTCCGGTGAAGAACTGCTCAGTAGAACAGACTCACAAAAGGATGTTTCCCCGATCACTACAACCTGTTCAAATCTAGAGTTAACCGTTATCTTCCCCTCCTATCCGTATAAACTACCCCTTAACGTAAACATCTACCTCGAGTGGCCTACGGGCCTTGTACAAGGTGAACATTTAAAAAAATTAAAAAAAACAATCACTAAATCTAAATTCATAAACTCTCAAGACATCTTTGCATATTCCCGAACTACATTCCTTGGTTCCGCTATGTCAGACCTTCACGGCTAGAACCCACCATGCTACTTACATAGTAGCAAACGATCCACATATTTCAATTCGTATTTCACTCAAACAGATTCTTCACACGGACCATTTCTCAGTGGAACAGACTCCCAAGAGGATGTTTCCCCGATCACTACAATCTTAACTTGTTCAATTATAGAGTTAACTGTTATCTTCCCCTTCTATCCATATAAACTATCCCTTAACGTAAACATCTACATTGAATGGCCTCCGGGCCTTGTACAGGTTGAACCTTAAAAAAATAAGCACTGAATTTAAATTCATAAACTATCGAGACATTATTGCATGTTTTTAATTTTCTAATATTGCTTTTCAACGGAAACAATCGTAAATAGACAGGATCGATATTTAGTTTCTTCCCCATTGCTTTCTACGGGCCTTGTACAGAATGAACCTTACTGTAAAAAAAAAAAACGTTATTGAGTCGAAAGTTAAATAAAAGAACAGGATTCAAGATGACAGAAGATTGGCGTTGCATTTACATTTTCAAAGATTTTACGTGGCAAGATAGGTTTCATTACGTTCGCCGAAGTTAAGCAACGTCGAGCCTGGTAAGTACTTAGATGTGTGACCCCTTGGGAATATAAGGTGCATTAAATCTCAGATTATTGCTGTGAAATAGTTAACATTTCGATATATTCAACCAAATACAGCGAAATCATAACTGAGACAACAGAGCAAAATCATTTTTGTTTGAAGATATATTACAAATCAAGATTGTTCAAGCAAGATACTGAAGGCAGTTGAATTTCGACACATATCCAAACAGGAGTCAGAGTTTCAATTTGGTCGAGAACTTTGAAGCTTATGGCATTTGTGAAGATCATAGGGCAACGGGGTATGTGCCACACGTCATCAAAAACCTAGCCTGCTGCATCCAACAGTCCCTTCAATTGAACAGCGGAAATCCGGAGCATGTACTCTAGGAATCCTTTTGGCATTTTTGGTTCATGTTTGAGACTAAACGGTTGCAGATCAGAATATGTTATACTTTTTACCTTTCAATAAATATAATTTCCTTTACTCTATCATTTGTTACATTTGATTTATACCCGATCATTTTATTTTTCAAAAATTGTGAAACACCCTGTAAATATTTAAAAAAAAAAAAAAAAAGTTAGAAGGTCGCAGTAGTGGGAACTGAAGAATTTTACACTTGGGATTTAGTTTGGTATAAGCATCACATTAGGGCAGGGGCTTGTCATTTTAATTTTCTGTTTATGCGAAAAGTGCACTTTTTAACCTTACGAAAACATTTCTTAAGTATTTGCCTATGGAATCTTCGCGAATGCGTACTGGCCCCCGAGGTTTAAGCTAGGCAGATTTAGAAAATGGCTCACGGTGTAAGACTTCTTGCTTATTAGCGTCCAAAGAAAGCTTTTACATTAAAAAAAGGAAATGAAAAGAAGAAAAAAATTATTATTATTAGTTTTTATTTATTTTTTTCTACTTTTGAGTTATTAATTTTATCTTTTTATTCTGCAGACATGGGTGTTTTTTTTTTTTTTAATGCAATATCGAAAAATACGAAGGACATTTATGAATATATATTAATATTTCTATTTAATCATTCGTGACATATGGAAAATCACTTGTCTCACATATTTTCTTGTTTACTTTAAATACATTTGATTTTTTCTCAATTGAATGAGTAGATTTAATTTGTAAATCCCAGTGAATTTAATATTTAATTTTCTGAACCGTCATTTTTTTTTTTTTTTTTTTTTTTTGCAGATAGAGGAAAAAAAATTTCTTGCTTATATTGAATGATCAGATTTAAAATCCCAAAGAATTTACTATTTAATTTTCCAGAACAGTTGTTTTACCTAGAAAATCATTTCACTGTAAGTCATCTAATTTGCACAAATCTTAGTAAACCACTGTTCCTATCCAGTCATATCTACGGTTGCAACATTCAGTTATCTCTTTCTTACTCCCTCCTTCTTTATAATTTGCACAAGACATATTAAACCACTGTTTCTAACCAGTCATATCTACTTTTGCAATATTCAATGATATCTCATTCTAATTTGCACAAGTCCTAGTTAATCACTATTTCTGCCCTGTCATATCTACTTTGACAACATTCAGTTATTCCTCATTCTCTTTCTCTCCCCTTCACTCTCTCAATATAATTTGCACAAGTCTTAGTTAATTACTGTTCCTACCCAGTCATATCTACTTTTTCAAGATTCATTTTTCTTCCTCTCCCTCCCCCCCTCTCTCTCTCTCTCTCTCTCTCTCTCTCTCTCTCTCTCTCTCTCTCTCTCTCTCTCTCGCATTTGCACAAGTCATATTTAATCACTGTTCCTACCGAGTCATATCTACTTTCGGAACATTCAGTTATTCATCATTCTCTTTCTCTCCCCTTCCCTCTCTCCTTCTCATTTGCACAAGTCTTAGTTAATCACTGCTCCTACCCAATCATATCTACTTTTTCAAGATTCATTTTTCTTCCTCTCCCTCCCTCTCTCTCTTTCTCTCTCATTTGCACAAGTCTTAGTTAATCACTGTTCCTACCGAGTCATATCTACTTTCGCAACATTCAGTTATTCCTCATTCTCTTTCTCTCCCCTTCCCTCTCTCCTTCTCATTTGCACAAGTCTTCGTTAATCACTGCTCCTACCCAATCATATCTACTTTTTCAAGATTCATTTTCTTCCTCTCCCTCCTCTCTCTCTTTCTCTCTCATTTGCACAAGTCTTAGTTAATCACTGTTCCTTCATATCTACTTTCGCAACATTCAGTTATTCCTCATTCTCTCCCCTTCCCTCTCTCCTTCTCATTTGCTTAGTTAATCCTGCTCCCTACCCAATCATATCTACTTTTTCAAGTTCATTTTTTCTTCCTCTCCTCCCTCTCTCTCTTTCTCTCTCATTTAATCACTGTTCCTGCCGAGTCATATCTACTTTCCAACATTCAGTTATTCCTCATTCTCTTTCTCTCCCTTCCTCTCTCTTTCTCATTTGCACAAGTCTTGAATTAATCCTGCTCCTACCCAATCATATCTACTTTTCAAGATTCATTTTTTCTTCCTCTCCTCCTCTCTTCTCTTTCTCTCTCATTTGCACAAGTCTTAGTTAATCACTGTTTTCCTGCCGAGTCATATCTACTTTCACAACATTCAGTTTATTCCTCATTCTCTTTCTCTCCTTCCCTCTCTCCTTCTCATTTGCACAAGTCTTAGTTAATCCTGCTCTACCCAATCATATCTACTTTTCAAAGATTCATTTTCTTCCTCTCCCTCCCTCTCTCTTTCTCTCTCATTTGCACAAGTCTTAATTAATCACTGTTCCTACCGAGTCATATCTACTTTCCATTCACCTCATTCTCTTTCTCTCCCTTCCTCTCTCCTTCTCATTTGCACAAGTCTTCGTTAATCACTGTTCTTACCCAGTCATATTTGCTTTTTCAAGATTCAATTTTTTCTTCCTCTCTCTCTCTCTCTCTCTCTGTCTCTCCCGCATTTGCACAAGTCTTAGTTAATTACTGTTCCTACCCAGTCATATCTACTTTTGTAACACTGAATTATCTCGAAAACATATTTATACGTGTTTCCCACTGTTGATGAACACGCATCAGCACAGTAGATGTTATGCATGTAATGGCGCTGGTGGTACGTTCCTTGAGATGATTTTAGCATCTCATTTACAGTCGCACTCTCATAGACATGCCGTCTCTTCCATCGGTCGTTTCTACAAATACTTTCATGGTAACGGCTCCGTCGAGCTACGTTCGCTAGTTCCCAAATTTCATGAATTTAAACGTGCTACTAGGTTGGCATCTCAGTCCCACCATTTCGCTGTCGAAACAAATGTAGCTGTCTCTTCTACTCCAATAGCTTCATGTCTTGCACTTCCTGTCTATGGAACTCCCTTCCGCTTATTTGCTTCCCTGATAGCTATAATATTCTGTTATGGGTTCCACCCCTTTTTCATACAAGTGGACTCGACCAGTGTGTACTTGGACTGCTGCCGTTAAATACCCATTCAGAGTAGAGAGAGATTGAGATTGTGATTGAGTTGGAGGTAGAGTAATAGTGTGAGGTAACCACTTGTAGAAGTCACAGCTGCGAGCACGTAGACTCTAAGGAAGTCCTACTTCGATACTGGAATTACCAGACTATATATATACAGTGTAACCCGGATACAAGAGACCCGGATATAAGAGAAACCCGGATATAAGAGAGATTTACTCTGGTCCCAAATTAGAGCCTGTGTTAATGTATATAAAATAGACCAAACCCGGATATAAGAGAAACCCGGATATAAGAGATCTCTTCTCCGGTCCCGACAACTCTCTTATATCCGGGTTACACTGTATATTATTATTGCTACTAACCACGTTTCTGGATCTACTAACCGTATTACCAATTGTATTAATGTGTAAATACATTTATTTGTTATATTTCATTCCTGCGTTTGTCATTCATTGGAGACCGGATTTCATCTCGGAATCCACAACATATTCATTTATTCAAACGCAATGTCAATCGACATCTTCAGATGCATTGAACTAATTCGCAGTCGTTCTCGTCATCCTTTCCTCTATCACGCCTCTTTACTCTTGATCCCACTCTCTGTAAACTCTTGCGTGCTAGTGACACTCCCGCCTTACTTGAGGTGAAATACCTAAAAAAAAAAAAGATTTATACCACTTGCCTCACCTGATACACCATGGCCTTCAAGTACCCCCAAAGATAGAAGTCAAGTGGGAAGAGATCTGGAGATCTTGGAAGCCACTCCATACGATCACGTCGAACAATCCAAGCATCCGGAAACTGCTGATCCAAATACCAACGCACTTGATGGCCATAATGATTTGGAGCCCCATCTTGCTGGAAGTAAACTGGGCAATCACCTTCCTCGTTTAGAAGGGATGGGAGAATTTACTCTTGCAACATGTTAAGATAACTTTCTGCATTAAGACTTACACTGAGAAAAAAATGGTCCAATAATTCTCTCACCCCCCCCCATATCCCCATGCATTTTCCAATGTATGGAAATTATGGTCACCCTGTATACGAGAGTATATAGAAAATTCTCTGAACTTTCGCCATAACATGTAATTTGATTTGTCCCCCCGTCTTCTACTCATGTGTCCTTATAGTTGTTGCTATTGTGGTCACGTGATCGAAGGTTGAGAACTTTCTTGCTGTTGTTACAGTGTAAATATGGCCGCTCCACTAATCATCTCCATTCCTTTCTTGTTTCTTTGATTAAAACAGGTTTCATTCAGACAGATTCTTCGCCAGAACTGTTGCTTTGTGTCATAGACTCCCGAGAATACGCTTTCCTGACAACTAGAATTTAAATTTATCAGACGTATAATGAGATAAGTGGGCTTGGTGAATTTGACATACACAGTACATAGTGACGTCACGAAGAACAAAAGGAAATGCGTCTTTTCAATACTTGATTATTTATGTCATTATTTTATTTTTATGTTTTTATAAAAAAAATGCTGTTACTGTGTAAACATGGCCGTTCCGCTAACCATTCCAACCCATTTTATGTTCCTTTAATTAAGAGCAGGTTTACTATCACGCATTGTTCCAGTACTTGTTGTATAAGAGTAAGTGTCGTTTCCGATACTGGGGTTGGAAACTACATCGCCAGTGAGTAATACGGGCGATTCTAGTATTAATTAGATCACGTGATCAAAAAGGAAGTGAATAAACAGGAAGTAGCGTGATGACTATACGACCACTATTCACTCTTCTTGTCTATACACTATTGCTATACGTTAACTCTCTCTACTCTATTTGGCGATTACTACTTGAACAAGTATTACTAGTGCGGATATTATTGGAAGGCGTTACTACTACTTCCGGCGTTTACAAGTTTCGTCCACAACGAGCATTTTTTGAAGTGATAACGAGCTTTCGTTTGACATGACAGAAATGACAAACGAAGCCGTCCAACATCACAAATGGCAACGAGGATTCGCAAGGAATCATAAAAAATGTAGACAGAAGATAACGAATGACACTGCATTTAATTTTTTTTAGGCAATTATGTTTTTTCTCTGGTGATAGAAAACATTAAACTGTTAGCACAATGAAAGAATAGTCATCTACCATGTATAAAAGTGTTGAAGCTTGGATAAGCATGGAATAATAATAATACAACACAAAATGTACGTAAACAAAATGTATTGAAACAAGGAAAAGGTACACAATATTTACAGTTAGTTTTGGTATATTCTTGGGAAGACTGTTCCTGTAGAATGGGTTGACTTAATCGCAGTCGGGTAGAGTTTCTGGATTGGATCTCTTGTTACTTCCTTCCCGGTACCAACCCATATTTATATGGTCGGTACTCCACTATGTAAATTAGGTGGATCGTACCACAACAAAAAGTAAGTGTCGTTGCCGACACTGTGGTTTGAAACAAGATCGCCAGATCATAAATAAAGCGAATAAATACGAAGTAGCCTAACGATCACTGTTCATTCCATCTTGTCTATCCACTATTGCTATACGTTCACTCTCTCTACTCTACTGTGCAGTTTAAGTTTCTCTTCTAATCATTATACTATTACTATTAGGGATATTATTGGAAGGCGTTCACAGCGTCTTCGAAGTCTCGAATATAACGAGCATTGTTGGAAGTGATAATAAGCTTTCACTTGACATAGCAAAGGTGACACACGAAGCCGTTCAACATCACAAAAGTACTCTTAGGTTGAGTTAAGTAGTCCTTTTGGTTTTTGTTTATTAACTTTACAAAAAAAAAATCAATTAAATTTTATTCAATTCTATATACACCATTATTCGCTATAACTTGTGCCAACTGATCATAATTATTGTCTTTTGCGTAATGCTCCGCAGGTTTTGATGCGTAAAAGATTTCAGCGAGCTTTTGGGTGTGATTTTTATTAGAGTAAGTTTACCGCGTCGAAGCGTTTTGCAGCGATGGCAAAAGGTAACCGTCTGTTGTGAAAGGATAAGTGAAAATGGCGGATTGGAGGTAAAACCAAGCAACCCAGTTTCAAATATTTATCCTCTGTTATTCCTGCTGCATGCCAACCCGCATTGTGTTGGTAGAACAACATTTTTTCTTCAATCCGTTTTGTACACGGCCACTGATGTGTAAAAACGGAAGTATTTCAAATTTATTCTTAACTGTCATGTCTTTTTATTTGTAGGTTTTTCTAATTAGTATTATGCTCTGTTTTTTTATCAAATTATGCTCTGTATGATAGCAGTTAGGAGCAGACATTCGTCATCAGAACTGGTTGCCCCCAAAACGAAAATTACTTATGATTCAACCTAATACAAATTCATTACCTTATTTTTTTTATCCAGATATATACGTACAGGGTGCAGCAGAAATACCTCCCATACATATATCTCCCAGATATACATCCCATATAATGGCAAGTCATTGGCTAGAAGAAAAAAATGTTGACACACCATAATGAAAACCTTTGTATTTTTCAAGGCTTCGAAAACATGTGATTTATCTTTGAACACCAAACGTCATTATTATTATTATTATTATTATTATTATTATTAGTAGTAGTAGTAGTAGTAGTAGTAGTAGTAATATTATTTCTTTTCATTTCTGTTGTATGCACATTTCCTTCCGGGTCCCAAACTGTGACCTAACGTCAAAAATGGCTTTATGACATTTTTCACTGATCCTTTTTGCAAAAAAATACAAAAGAAAATCTAAGATCACCCACATTTTACATAGATAAATCTCTTCATAAAGTGTTACCTGTACTTGTGAGTACAATTTATTGTATTTCTTTAAGTCGTGGGCTACCAGGAATCACTTCAATGAGTCTATCGGATTTTTTTTCAGTCAATCCGAGAGCTCCAAATACAACTCGAATTATAGATGCCTTCATGTGCCAAATGTTTTAGATTTCCACTTCAAGATCCTTGTATTTTGATGTTTTTTTCTTCTTAGAATCGTCAAATATACAGTACAATGCCTGGGTGATTAGCCTTGATTGTTCTATCTGTTTGTATTTTAAAGCCCCATAAAATTGTTACAGCTACTATCTCGATAAGCGTGTAGTGTTCATACCAATTATTATTATTATTATTATTATTATTATTATTATTATTGTTGTTGTTGTTGTTGTTGTTGTTGTTGTTGTTGTTTTTGCTGTTGTTATAATAATAATAATAATAATAATAAGAAGAAGAAGGCATTGTTATTAAAGACCACAAAAAGTGCCTCCTTATTGATGTGGTAGTCCCTGCTGACTGCAATGTATTTTTGAAGATATTCAAAAAGCTGTCAAAATACAAGAACCTTGAAATCGAAATCTCAAAAATGTGGTATATGCGAACATCAACAATCCCTGATGTAGTTGGAGCCCTAGGACTGGTTGGAAAAGATTCCAGTAGACTAATTGAAGGGATTCCTGGAAGCCCATGCCTCAAAGAAATATGAAAAACTGTTCTGACAAGTACAGCCCACACTCTACGAAGGGCTTTATCTATGTAATTTATTTATTTATTTATTTATTTTTTGTCAGTGGAAAGTGTCATGATGCCATCTCTAACCATAGGTCCCTGGGCGGGACCCGGAAAGAAATGTGCTAAAATCAAAAAAAAATAATAAAATAATAATAATAATAATAATAATAATAATAATAATAATAATAATCGCCACACCGTGTAAGGTTTCGTACACACAGGGTATATTAAGTTATTTGTCAAATCACAACAAATATTTCAACACTTTCCTCAATTATGTGCAGTGTCCAAAACAGCTGATTTTTGGATGACCCCTAGTTGGAATTATCTCTCGATCTGTTAATAGGCTTGATCCCAGTGGACCAATCAGCACTTCAATCACCATGAGATTCCCTTCTTATGTTCCAAACAATTTTGTCATCTTAATTACAAATCAGATATTGTTGAAATTTTCTCAATCACCTTGTTTGCTATATTTGTGTCATTTGGTATGGCGACATCAACAATAGGACAGATCTTGGTGCATTTATCTAGCGCAGGGGTTCCCAAATGAGGTTCACATGGGCTCGAAGAGTCCATGTCATATTTCTGGGGGGTCCACAGGCAAAATATAACAAATTGGAGGTCCAGAGTGATATTGTGGTGGTCCATGAAGAAAGCTAACTCAGAATGGTTTTGATTATTAAAAATTAACTTTATATTGTAATTTACATATATATATATATATATATATATATATATATATATATATATATATATATATATATATATATATATTATATAATTTGTTCAGTTTCTATAAATGTATGTTACATATGGTTAACATTGAGGAGGAGCCATTCGACATTCCAATTGGTTCCCCAAAACGGAAATTAATGATAACTCACAAAAATAAAACTGTTAAATTTTTCAAGGTTTTGAAAAACATATCATTTCGCTTGAATCCAAAATGTTATTATTATTATTATTATTATTATTATTATTATTATTATTATTATTATTTCCTTTGATTTCTGTTGTAAAAACAAAAACATTCCCATCCGGGTCCCAAACAGAAACCTAAGGTTAAAAATGGTATCATCATATTTTCCACTAAGCAGTTTAAAAAAAATCACACATACTTTAAAGATAAAAACCTTCGTAACTTGTGGGCTGTATTTTTTAGTACAATGTTTGTATTTCTTTAAGGCGTGGACTACCAGAATTATTATTATTATTATTATTATTATTATTATTATTATTATTATTATTATTTACTTTGATTTCTGTTGTAAGCACATTTCCATCCGGGTCCCAACCAGAGACCTAAGATCATAAAGGGCATCATGACATATCCCACTTACATTTTTTGTAAAACAAAACAAACAAAATAAGATCCCACACATTTTACAAAGATGAAGCTCTTTTCTCTCTCTCTCTCTCTCTCTCTCTCTCTCTCTCTCTCTCTCTATGTATGTATTTATCTGTCTCTCTATCTATTATATACTAGTGCACTTTATTTAATTACCACATATGATTAGTAGTCATTACAATCGGTTCACTAAAAGCGAGATTAACTTATGAATTAGACTAATATTGAACACATTCCAAGGCACGACACCCTGTTCAAGACCATCATGCAAGGCACCATTAAAGGTGCACGTAGGAGAGAACACGTCAACGCAAAAAGTCTTTGGCCAATGTCAAACAATGGACAGATATGACTGTACCAGAATTGCTGATGGCTGCCTTTGATAGACCTTTGTCGAAAAGAGTTAGTGTCACTTCTGCAATTGGATCCACCCTACAATTACAAAAGTCAAGGGGATAATGATGATGATGACGATGATGTTTTTGAAAACTTTTTCCTGTCCTTTGAGGAATTATTTCCTTTCGCCATATTTTTTATTTGTTTTGTCTTTCCTAGAAGAAAGGTTTAGTTTCTTTTTCATTTCCAGGCACATACACGTAATAATTATATGCAGTTTGGTATCCATACTTTCGTCACATTAACCAATGTACATAAATGCATATCTTATCAAGGCGCCTATTATAATCAATTTTATTATTATTATTATTATTATTATTATTATTATTTATTTTTATTGTTGTTGTTGTCGTTGTTGTTCGGTACAACAATAAGCGTATATTAACTATAATTTTGCTTGCTAAGAAGTGCAATTTGCTCAAGGGTAAGTTTCGTCTTTCGTCTGTCACGACAATGATCTAAACGTCGTTCTAAAAAGGGGAGCGCCGACGCAGGAAGGAATAAATGCGAATCGAGAAGAAGCGGCCAACGACCCGAGGTTTTTACGTGCAAACACTTTAAGAATCCATTAAAAAAAAAAAGAATTTTTTTTTTTTGAGGAAATATTCTAACTGTTGTTTTAAAGAATGGTTTTCATAGTTTATACCGGCGTTAATTAAGATGAACTCAATGATCAGAGTGAGTGGCATTTGCAAGTTAATACAGAAATGCGTTTTTATTGTGAGCTTCGAAACTGTTGGTAAATGGGGAGAGGAAAATATACAGAAAAATATACTGTGACGGATTATACGCCTACGTGCATATGTTTCGCATGACCAAGAAGGAAAATTAAAGCAAGTCTTAATGTATCGATATTTTTGTTCTTTTTCAATTTATTTATGTTATGTATCTATCTTTCGTATATATCTATCTATCTCAGCCTCTTCATATCTATCTATCTATCTATCTATCTATCTATCTATCTATCTATCTATCTATCTATCTATCTCAGTCTATTCAGATCTATCTATCTATCTATCTCAGTCTATCTATCTATCTATCTATCTATCTATCTATCTATCTATCTATCTATCTCAGTCTATTCGCATCTATCTATCTATCTATCTATCTATCTATCTATCTCACTCTATTCATTATCTCTCGCTCTCTCTTTCTCTCTCTCTCTTTCTATCTATCTGTGTATCTATCGAAACAATCTGGATGTCGCTTTTATTGTTTGTGGTTGCAGTATGTTAACACGTGGCATTTTATAAGTGATATATGACAGCCACAGTGCCACCCAAATTAAAGTAAGTGACTTGCGATCATTGAGAAAATTTGGGCATGAAACGAAACATCTAGGAAAGAACGTGATGCGATTAATCAGTAGGACACCCCACGAAAAAAAAAAAAAGTAAAAAAAGAAAAACTAGCCATCAAATTTACATGAATCAGAGGAAATATATATGTGAAATAAGTAACAATCTAATTCATTTATATTTTTACAAATCAGGTTCGGGGATTGCCGAGTTAAATATGGGATAAAAAGAGTTTATTCGTAATGCGTGTCTGACAAGCAGAGTTATAAATTTCTTTCCCTTTGAAATAATGCTGTAAAAATTATGATGGCGGAATCTTGAAAAAGAGAAGTTTGCAGCCTCTAGCATTTTTAACGTGTGATCCCAGTGCGTAAAAAAAAATGTCAGTTTTTATAGCGTTTTTTGAGGGGTAAAAAGGCTTAACTTAAATCCTTTTTATTTCGTTTCCGAAGTAGTGTTTTTGAAACGGTGTGATGTTTTATCTACACCGCCCGCGTTTGAAATAGCTTAATTTGTAAATATTTTGCGAGTTTAAAATCAAGTTGACTGTAATAAATTTTAGTACCTTTGGCAGAATCCTCATTTTGCGCAAAAGTTTTTAACACATTCATTGTCGGTTGAAATTTGCAAAATCTTTCTTTTAAAACAATTCTTCAGAAAAATAGATTTCTCAAGTCCAGTAGGTGTTATCGCTCTTTCCAGTGTGTGTGTGTGTGTGTGTGTGTGTGTGTGTGTGTGTGTGTGTGTGTGTGTGTGTGTGTGTTGGGGGGGATCCTTAAAAACTTTTTCGGGAACTTTAGTATCTTAATCATAAAATTATTTTCTCTTCGAATTACATGTGCTGTCCATTTTATTTGTGCTGCTGTTGATAGTCCTCAAATGACGTGGCTTTTGTTATTTGATACAGTTAATTTTATTGGGAATCTGTAGCGCCAGTCCACACTGTTCAAAGAAGGATGCTCTTCGCTAAGTGCCATAGACTTCAGTTGCTCAAAGAACTTTTTAACGAGAAAGCGGTTGTCTACAGCTGATAAAGGTTTGATGCAAGATGTTGCGATCCGGTGTACACGTTGAGAGATAAACACGTGTGTGTCTCCTGAAATGACTATAGAAATCTTTCAGATTACAACCGACAATGAATTTTCTTTTATAGCGAAACAGCTAAAATTACCATGACAATATGCGTGTATATTTGTAGTAAAAGTAAAGAAATGATAAAAAAAAAACAAAAAAAAAAAAACAAAAAAAAAACTATATTATGACGTTTTGGTTCAGAATGAACGTCTTCAGATAAGTAAATTAAAAACGTTAAATATACAGAGGTGTTCAACAGTTAATATTTGATATTGACATCCAAAATTTCAGTCACCGCAGTGTATTTGACTTTATTTTGAGAAAGAAAGTAAGCAATTCACAATAAAAAAATGATCATACAACAGCACCATATTTTGTTTGCGTCAATAAAACCACCACCTGCCTTAATTACTGCTTTACAAATACTTGACATTCTTTACACCAGTTTTTGAAAATAATTAGTTGTTATAGTTTCCAAAGTATTCTTCAAGCATTAAAAAAATCTCACTCTCACGCTTTCGGCATTCTCTTCGAACTCGCCTATCAAAGTCATCCCTTTTTAAATTCAAGGGTGAGAGGAAAGGAGACAAAAAAAGTCATGATTTCCAAATTTTGGTTCCTTTTTTTTGACTCGAGAAAATTTTTACATAATTTAGAACACTTCTAAATTATGTAAAAATTTTTTTTTAGATTTGTTGAATGATGATTTTTTCTGTTATGCATAAGCCAGATGGCACAAAATATTGTCCTTTTTTCCAGGTTTTCCTTGACCTGAATCAAATCACCAGCCTTTTAGTAATTTCAAAATGTCTAAAGGGAAATATATATATATATATATATATATATATATATATATATATATATATATATATATATATATATATATATATATGTTTATATATATATATATATATATATATATATATATATATATATATATTTATATATATATATATATATTTATATATATTTATATATATATATATATATATATATATATATATTTATATATATATATATATATATATATATATATATATATATATATATATATATATATATATATATATATATATATATATATATATATATATATATATATATATATATATACATATATATATATTTATATATATATATATATATATATATATATATATATATATATATATATATATATATATATATATATGTTTTATATACATATATGTATTGGTATCAAATGACAATTGGAAAAATCATACATTTTGACGCGTTTCAAATCTTCCGACATTTTCAAGGCTAAAATGAAATCAAAATGTTTTTGCTGTTATAGTTACATTAAAATACAAAATTAAAAAGATAGCAAAAACATTTCGATTTCATGTCTTGTCCACAGAATTCATCTGGGAATTTAACTATAACTACATATATGTATGTTTAATATATATATATATATATATATATATATATATATATATATATATATATATATATATATATATATATATTTATATATTATATATATATATATGTACATATATTTTATTTTTTTCTATTTTTTTCCAGACGTCACGAGTTCCAGCGCCTCACGAGGCTGGCATCCCGCTCTCACCCCTTCACTGTCGAAACTCCTAAATACAGCCGTCTCTTCTACTCTAATAGCTTTATGTTTCGCACCTCTCGCCTGTGGAACTCCCTTCCCTTCTCATGTTTCCCTGTGAGCTATAATCTCCAGCTATTCAAGTGTAATGTCAATCGACATCTTCAGTTGCCTTGATCTATCCACTACCCTCATCCTTTCTTCTATCACTCCTATCTGATCTTGCTCTAAATTTTCTGTAACCCCTTGCGTCCTAGTGGCTTCCCTGCCTTGCGTCCTAGTGGCTTCCCGCCTATATATATATATATATATATATATATATATATATATATGTGTGTGTTAAATATATATATATATATATATATATATATATATATATATATATATATATATTTATATATATATATATATATATATATATATATATATATAGATAGATAGATAAAACCTAGTGAGCCAGGTCTGCTCTACGGTTGTATTGAGCTCTTTTGTTAGTTAATTGTTTACTCGTGTCGGTGTTTTTTTTTGGGGGCTTTAAACCTGTATCTGTGCGATTTTTTTCGACAGACTTTCATGTTTCTAGCTCTTTCTTTTTTTAAAACATGTTTTTCCTTCGAGATTCATTTGGTTATTGGCAAATCAAAAATTCGAAGGTTTTTCGAAACGAGTTACCTATATATATATATATATATATATATATATATATATATATATTTATATTAAAATTTCAATGATCAAAAACACTATTCTTAAAAAAGTGTTCAGTACCACTCTCTTCCTCTTGCTTT